TTGCACGAAACGATTAGTGGTTTCTTGTCTCGACCCAGCAAATTTTCCGCAGTCCATCTGCTAGTGAAATTAATCGTAACAGCCGTTTGACTCCTCCTCTTGACCTCAGCAGTGGATTGACCGGATAACAGTCGGTTTAAAACCGAGATTTTATTCTACAAATTGTTTTTTCTTTTTTTTAAATTGTGTAATAAAATTTCTTTCTGTCCTTTTCTGGAGTATTCAATTTATAAATTAAATATTAGATAAAAAATATAGGTTACATTTGGAAAATATTCAAGGATTTCTCAAAGATTTTTTACGTTATTATCGTATTTGCGTATCTCGTTGCGAAGATAAAATCTAAGATCTAAAATTTCTTGTTAACTAACCGTATGAAAAAAAATTTTCGATGATCGTGAAAAGGCTATTTTATCGGTTATAATAAGTATACGGTCTGTAAATCGTCTAAATCCACTACTGCTCATCCACGCGAAATAGCCCGCTCTCTTCCGCCTCGGCAGAACGCCCTGGTCCGTGATCGATGTAACGACGCTCATTGTCTCGTAATGAGACTGGGAGGGACAGGATGCCTGTGCATGCACATTACGAGCGAGAGACGCACCGCACACACACACACACACACATTTGCCTATTTAACACAGACCAATGGAAATCCATCATCCGTCACGCGAGCAAAGAGACAAAAAGACCGCTTGATTGGTTCGCATATATTCGCAGAAATTCCGCGGACGTGTCAGCACGGTATGTGTTCGCGATTGTTACGATGGCCGATTATGTGTGCCGTATGCATGCGATTTACGCTTTTGCACATCGTGCATACGGTGCATCGATCGCTACGCCGCATTATGGAAAAAGTGCAACGACATCGGTAGGTGATTCACCAAACAACACGGTTGCGACGCGAATTCGCGGATTACGATGAGCTTTTGACGCGTCGCGCAATTCTCCTTTCAAGTGTATCTTGATTCCGAATAAACAAGTATTGAGAAAAGTTTTTTAACGTATGAGAGATGAGAGAAACTCGTTGCGAAATAGCTGAGAAGAAATTGTGTGACCGCATCGTCGCCGTTTCGCGCGGACGAAATCACTGAGCTGAATAATTGAACGAAGAGGCGGTGTCCGGGATGTGTTTAAAAGAAGAAAGTAAATTTCTTTATACGAATCGACTTTTAAGAGAGTCATTTCCGGTCAATTATAGGGCCAAATAAGCCGCATCGTTAAACGGGTCTCAAAATCAATCATAAGTTATCTTTCTTTCTCTCTCTTTCTCTCTCTCTTTTATTCTCTTTTTCCTCAGATACGTGCTGAATCTTTTTGCCGAGAAAATCGACGATCATGTTGCCGTGTCAGTTTTAAAAACCGGTGAAAGTGTCGGCTGCCGGTATTACCTGATCGATCATTGTGTTTTTTTTTTATTTCGTTTTGCCACAGCTGCTGTAACCTTTACATTTATAACGAAACAGATAATGTGTAGCTACGCTGTTAAGAACTTGTCTGCTCAACAGCGTTAGGCAACAATGTGTACCCCGTTTGATTCTTTCGAATTCATGCGAAAAACCATATAATCTGTAATTTAAAAACTCGGGAACTATTAACCTCACACGATAGTTTTCTTACGACAAAATGTTTAAGGTCTGTAGAATGCGTGCTATGCTCGTACTGGTTGATTTGTAGCGTCATTACTCGATCTTCGAGAGAGAGGAGGGGGAGAGATAAGAGAGCAGGAGAGCATATAAGTGAGCGAAAGAGACGAGTATGTTAGAACAAGAGAGAGACCGGTGTAATTACGTAATTTAGCTTTACGATTCCGGTTTGACGTTATTAAAAGCGAGAGTGGGCGTGCGCGCTTCTCTTCTGTCCAATCGAGAGTATCTGCACACGCACACATGCACACATACGTGTCTATAAAGGAGATAAGACAACTTGTTTTTTTCTTTATTCAAACGCAAAATCACGACACTGCAACGAAGAAGTTTCTCTTCTTTTTTACACATTGTTTTACTTCAGCGGAATTGACCAGTAGCAGCAAAAGAACAGCGATGGAAGAAAAATCTACGCGTAGAGAGGGGAAATCATCTTTCCCTCACACGTAAAATCTCTATTTCATTGCTTCGTAATGCATATCTCGCGCGTGCGAACACATTTGTTCCTCGAGAGAGACCACCGTGAATCTTTCGACAACGGTGCAAATTATACCCGGCGGATTCGATAATCTCGCACCGTTTATTTTCATCTACAACCGTTTTTTTTTCACACCTCCGTGCTAAAGCTCGTTCACACGTATACGAAGTTTACGATTCGAATTGTATCAACAGCGACGCGACAAGTCGTCCCGATAGTTAAAAAATTCGAAGGTAATTTCGAAGAAATGTATAAACTTGTATTTTATTGAAATTTTAAATACAAAACAATTTACAAAAAAAAATAAGAAAAAAACTGCCGCGCTAAAGTATCGATAGATAAATAATATCATCAGGTATCAACGCTTCGCTAACGTTCAGTGAAATCTCAAAATATGCAAGTAACTAGATGATAAATATCCCGAGTCATTTTTGATGGAGAAAATTAATACACACGCTTCAATTTTCTTGCTGCGCAAACGCGAAATGATACATAGCTATCGAGTCGTATGAAATCGATGATTCATCATATCGTTATACGTCATTTTGACGAGTTCAATGATGTCGGGGGGTCGCGAATGATCGACACTCTTATTTAGCATCACGGGAACCGGTAGTGATTGGCAATTATACATTAGGTTGTTACGACCTCGTCGAACAACGTTTTTTTCTTTTTTTTTTTTTTTTTTTTTAACGAAAACAAAACGGAATAACGTTGAAAACTCAATTTGACGAGGAGTCCGACCGTCGGGGAGGTCACGAAGATCGTAACACGTGCTTCTTGAGCATCCGTCTATTCTAGTCGATCTTTTTTTATGCAACTTTTTGCGTAACTCTGAATCGACTTATTTATATTCTCGCTGCGTATCGAAACGGCTGTTGACGGCTCGAGGAACATAACACGCGTACGCGAATACGGGAATTAGAAATTAAGTCCGTTACAACGGCGTAACGATGCAAACGCTAATTAATACGGCGTTCTTAATGGCGACCCGCTTTGCGTTATATCCGTTTCGACCTTGCCGGTGTTGAAGAGAACGCATCTCTATGTTAAACCACACATCGTGCACACATTCGTATGCAAATCGGGAAAAATGCCAAATACCGGAATCGACTGCGTAATAATAAAAAAATAAAAAAAAAAAAAGCAAAAGAAAAACGCAACGTGATTAACGGTATGTTTAAGTGCAAGCCTCTTTACTGCCGGATTCCACCGAATCATAGCGATCGTATCGTCGATCTTGGAGTATCGCGCGGTCGTAAGGTATCATCTTCCTTGATCCCTCTTTCTGTCTTTTCCGTCTCCTCGACGATTATTTCGGACGTGAAGAAAAACGTTTGTGTGTGCGAGCGCGCGCCCGGTCTGCGATTAGAAACATGTCGGCGTTCGATGTCGGCGTAAACTATACTCCATATCGTTATGAAGCACGATTAAATTGCATTGTTCGGAGGCCATTCTACCTCGGGGGCAACGATAATCGCTTATCGACGGACGGGCATACCCGTAGGGGGTTTACTTCGCAAGGTTGTAAACCGAAGACTCTCGACGAGTGAGCACAACTTGATGAGTAAACGCGCGATTACATTCCCGTTTTTCGCCGTGTCGATTAAGACGCTCTACGGTGCGCCAAACTCGTTTATTTAATTGCGATCGCAAAAAGAATTGCTCACGGCTCATTACGTAACGCAAGAATGCGAAAACGTGTTAACCCTTCGATTCCCGGTGTCACCTGCGTTGCGCGGTCGTATAATATTTCGTAGAATTTGTACTTGACATTGAAAACGAAGACTTATCAGTTAACGCAAACATTTATGATTATGCGAAAACGCACGTAAATTCCAGAAAACAACATTTCTGCACCAACATAAAACAACGTTCGAGAGAAGCGCGTACAAAATATTTTAATTAAATAAAATGTGAATTTCTAAAGATTTTTCTCTTGCGAATTTCTCTTCAAAGTTCGCGTTGCAAGCAGCGATCCTGTGAAGACGTGACGTACTTTGGATTTCAATACAATCGCGTAATACGACTGTGTTTGAATAATGCGAAATAAATATGCGAATGTGAAGACTCGAAAGAATTTATTTGCGCTTTTTACGAGCAATCAGTTGTAACCGATAAATTCTCCGCCCACAGTTCATTAAACCGCGAATTTACTACACAAGAAAGCAACTGTACTTCTTTCCCCATGCGTATTGGAATTTCTGAAGAATTTGTGCGAATTATCGTATTATTATGCGTATTTGTACGCGATGCAAACGAGACGTTCGGGAAACGTTGCCATAACACGACTCGTAGGGGCCATCGAAGGTTCAATGTCTTGTCTGACGTAAACCATCTTGGACCTTCGAAGTTTATCTGATCCCTCTTTCACGATGCTTCCGTCGCCTGACGGTAAATATCTGACGGGTCGTAACCGCTTTAAGTGTGCGCCGTTGTCGCGTTCCTTACCGTGACGATCAAAATTTTGGGGATTAGTCGGCTCAAGGTTATCGGCGTGCGAAGTTAGTGCAAAGCCAGCGGTCTGACATCCGACATTTTTTACGATCATCGTTCCGCGTCCAGTCGTGTAATTAGAGCATTCCGAGCTTTTCGTTACTGGATAGACCGGTTCTGCTTCGAGACAGCATTGAATGGATTTCGTAGAAAGTGTCTAATTTCTCGAGTGTGAGACTTATATTTGGTTCTTACAATAACGTGATATTAGTGTGTTGGTTTATTTATAAAATCACTCAAAAAGTTTAACACTTTTATCTCTTTAAAAGTAACAAAATGTTTTATAAAGAATAATAATCGATAAAATTACAAGAACATCGACTGTCCGACACAAGAGTGTTAATTCTTGTTTGATAATTCGATTATTTTTTCTGTTGCAGTTATCAGCATCATCGCCGGGAGCTATTTCCGCCGTGGTCGCTCCGGTGCTTTTAAAGTATCGAGTTTGCAGGCCACGATTGTTGCTCGCCGGCTCGAGAGCCGAAGTTGATCCCTCAGCTGACGTGGCCCTTTTGCACGGTGAAGTTTTACTCATCGAAGACTCTGCGAGACAATACAATACGGTCGGAGGTAAAATTTTTCTCTCGTTTACTCTTAATATGTTTTGCATTGATTTTTGCGAAGTACTTAATTATTATTTTTTTTATTTTTTTTTTATTTTGCAGACACAGATCGCAGGTATAGGGCTACGGAGAAGCTGTTGCACGCAGAAGAAGAATATCACGAAACATTGTGCAGCGCCAAAGAATTGTACGCACGTCCGTTGGCGCGCAGTTATCCCGAATTTCACGATGTTATTTTTCAACCCATCGCGGATCTGTCGCGGATCAGTGCTGAGCATTGTCAGAGGGTAAGTCAGTAACCAGACTAATAGTAAAAATTCATTTGATTGAGTTCGAGGCGGTGTACGTGAAAAGTCTTGAAAAAGGCGAATCTATAGGAATATAAGGTAGGAATATAATTTTTAATAACATATAAAAAAAACTATAAATAAATATGATTGAGGGATCTACAAGTTCTGTGCGTTGCTGGGTGCGCGTGAGTGCTCTCTTATCGACAGACTAGACAGAAGTGAACGAAAGGCATGTTGAGCTACTCAGTGAGAGATGGCGGCACTTGAATCGACTTACTGCTCTGCACACCTGTTGCTTCTGTGTAACACCTTGCCTTTCTCTGTCCGTCGCGTGTTGCAATTACAGTAGCACGAGTTGCTTTAACCTTTTCGAGAAAGATCGCGAATATGCACTTCACATCATAAGTCTTGAATAAATTGTTTTGTTGTTCTGTTAGAAATAATATTGTTTGAAATAACGATTGAGAGAGAGAAGAATCTTTTTGAGATATCAGCTGATATGTAATCGAACCGATTAAATTATGTCTGATAAAATTCACGCGTAAAACAAACAAAAAATAAATAAGTTTATAGAAGCACACAGTTTGTATAATATATATAATAATCGGTGTTTATACTATTGAATATTTATTACTCTAAAGAAGGACATGTCAATAGTTCACATTAAAAAATCAAAATGAGGAGAAAGTGTGACGTAGAGAAACAGAAACAGAATCACTCGCGTCAATCTAATTGCGCCATTTCAACAGAACAGAAATATGATCTAGTTATAAACAAATTAATTAAAATAACAGCTAGACAACTTGTATTAATTAGAGTAATACAGTATATTTATTGTAATAGTAACATTATATATGAACCACTTTCACTTTTAAATAACGCACGTGATCGCGCTGCATGCGCATTTTTCTCATTCGTGGGCATTAATTAGCACCAATAAATAACAAGTTTCTCTGGAGGATTGAGATTTAATCAGATAAGATATTCGCGTCGTTGTGTTCGCGATTACGCGCGGAATTAAAATTTTCGAGAGGTTTCGCTCAAAACGCGCGGTGGCTGAATGCGGGCGATAAGCGAGAGCGATCTCCGGCACACCCGGAGGCCAGACACGTATCCAAGGTACCATTCAGCAGCAGCCACAACAACAAGGTCCAATCGTGCGCGGAGTGGCGGTAGACGTGTTTTCTTTAGGGCTGACAATAAAGAGAGGATGCCTGTCCTTCGGATGTAAACACAAAGCCATGCCGGCGGAGAGAGCTGGTTAACGAGTCGAGATGAGCGATGACGGTGGTTAGCACCCTCATAAATATTGACTTTTACAAGACGACGAGCGGCTTGCGTATATACGTTACGTTATACGTACGTACGTTCATACGTACGAGCTTCGAATCGCGGAGACCGTACTATACCTTCGAGGCTGCGCCACTCGTAAAGTGAAAAACGTTTGTTCGCGGCGCGCGGAGATCGTTGCGCGGGATTCGCGAGGCGAAACCGAGGGTGGAAACGCCTACCTTCTTTATTCTGCGCGCTCAACCTCGCGGTCATCAATAACAAAGTTGCCGTGCAAGCGGCAAAAAACGTCACAAAAATCGAGATTTCTCTCTCTCTTTCTCTCTTTCCCCGTACTCTTCTTTCCACCTCTCACTTTCTATTTCTTTGTGTTCATCTCCCGTTCTCTCGCTCTTTCTCCCTCATCTTCCCTTGCGGTGAATCGTGTTCATGTTCGGGGATCCTGTACCGAGAAGAGGTTATTGCGGCCCGCCGGATATTAATTGTGGCGACTTATGATCTTCTACGCGTTTATTTTATTTTCGTCCAGACCGGCCGCTGAGTGTACAGTGGTGTTTTAAACGGTGCAGCAGACCTTGGACCCATTCTCTCTCTCTCTCTTTCCCTCTCTGCTCTTCTGCCACGGTACGATTTACATTTTATTTTAATGAACGCATTAAACGGTTATCGGTTACTCCGATCGATCTGCTCGCGCTGTCGGTCGCCGCCACTCACGAAGATGATAATTTCGAGAAAAAAATCTCCCTGATGGGGGATGTTACTCGCGACCTTCGTTCCCGTGACTAGCCAACTTCCTTTCGGGGCGAGCATCGTTATTAAGACACTATCTCGCGTCGCGGACACGACTTTTGTGAGGTATCTAAGGGCTTCGTAATCGGAAGATCGGATCTGTCGAGGCTCTCTCGAAGCTGCGCAGAATTGAGTCGTAAATATATCGTCAATAATAAAAAAACCATCAATAGCCTTAATAATAATAAATATCGTATTAGCGGTATTAGCCGTCAAAGATATAATTGCGTTTTGTTAATAATCTTTTTCTACAACTCAAATTGCCGTGTCATTGACACACAAATGAAACAATTTTTATTTTTGTTTGTTTTTTTATATAAAACATAATTGCTTTTTTTTTAGAAATCTTTTAAAAGATTTCTAATTTTTATAAAAAATAAGCTAGACGAAAGCGAATTCCTCTTGCCGCAAACATTTTTGTAATGTTATATTTAAAAATCGTTATTCAGTATTTACATAATCGGTGAAATTTGATAGGAAATTTCACGTTCGATGTGCATTTTCAAGTCGTTTCTTACGTTTCTCTCGTTACGGTTATCCAATCGACAAATAATCGCGGCACGATGTGTAATAAAGCGATGCCATAACTCGATGAACCTCACAGAAGCACGCCGGTCCCGTACGGGATAAAACTGGTTTATCTGTAGTCGAGGAAAGTACAAGCCGGAGTCTTGTACTTTGTGCAAAGATTTACCGCAGAACGTTTACCGAATTTTAGCGCCATAAAGGTGATGCGGGGTTCTCGACGCGATACAAAAGCATGGCGGACCGCAAGTTAATTAGTGAAAACGCTCGGGGATCGTTCTCGCCGTTCCCGAGGTGGGCATCACAACCGACGATCTTCCTCTGTCTTCGTCGTGTAACACGTCATGCGCTTCTTTGCGAGATGTTTTTTTTTTTTAATTATTTTTTTACTCTGTGTCGGATCGCCTCCTTCTCACGAAGATCAGCGCGTTGTTGCTGCAATTTCACTTTGGAGTCACCTCGGGGCCCACTGAGGAGCGGGCAATTAGAAGCAATCGCGCACCTGAAAGTCTGTCTTTGTCCGTTTTCATTTCTCCTTCTCATCTTCTTCTCTTTCTTCCGTCTCGGTGAACGCGAGAATAACAAAAGCGCGTTTGCTTTATTTGTCTTTCGAGCATCTTCCAGAGGATTCCTCGTGGAATTATTGAAACGAAAGAGCGGTTTCTTCCAGATTCTTTCTCATGCTTTTACGGCAATACGTTAAAATTATTCTCGTTTTTGTCCATAAATTGTTCTCTAAGTTGTTTTATACGTCCGATAACAACTTCAACAACTTAATAGGATACAATTGACGATTAATTATTTGCGCAGTCACACGGTAAAACCATCGGTCTCTCTGCGCGAACAATTCGGAGCGAAGCTTAAAGAAATTCGATAATGATCTTTAGGGGGAGAATCTTAATGAGCTGGATCGTGAAGTTTCGTCAACTCTTTCGAAGAAATTTCAGGCTCGAAGTGAGCGGCTTTTTTTCCATGTCCGGCATTCTTGTTATTTTGATTTGGGGGAAGGGGAAGAGGAAAGAGTACAGAATTTTGAAGAGAGAGAGAGAGAAAGAGAGAAAGAAAGAGAAAGCACTCCAGAGCGGTATTCTCCGTCCTTCGTTGCATTGCCACTGTCGTAAATTACGTTTTTGCGCCACGGTAGTTGTGGATCGTTCGCGGTGACGCAACGGAGAGATGCTTTTGCGCGAGATGCTGCGCACCTGCGCTACGCGAGAATGCGACGCGACCACGTTATCCGACCGGGAGAACCAACGCCCTCTCTTTCTGTATTTTTGTCAGCGCGCCGCTGCGATTAACTTATTTACCACGATGGCGTAATTAATTCGCCTGGGAATTGTAATTTCAGGAAATTGGCCGAGTGGAGATTAATTGCGCGATTGCGCCGCGCCGCGCCGCGCGATTCTTGTTGCGGGTTTTAGCCGGCTTTCACACGAAGGTGCTACGTGCGGCTTCGATTAGTTGAAATGAGAAGCAATGTCACCGCTACCACCTTCAATGTGAAAGCCGGCTTTACACTTGCTCGCATCGCACATCTGGAGTAATAACACGCGAGTCGACGAGTCTATTTAATTGAGTTAGTATATTACCGGTAAACTAATGGTTGGTAATATTGCAAACTTCTCACACTGCAACTTTCGTGAACCGTGAAATTGGAGTATCGGGAGAATATTAAACGGCAACTTCCGTGTGCAAACGACTCTCTTTATCTTGTGGCGGTTTAAATTTTATCGTTGAAAGCTGAAAACAATCTTGTTACGTTAATTTTCCTGATTTCTTTTAAAGAAACGATATTGTAAGAAAGAATAACATGATACGCGGGTTGCTTAATAAAACAAATTGCACCCGAGGTTCATTAAAGAACCTAACGGATGACATTTTGCGTCGTGTGGAAAGCTGGTGAAACCGTCTGGAAGTTCGTAAAGTAACTTGCGGATAGAACGAAAGCTTCTTCTGGCGCGTCTCGCCGTCGGTCGGGCCAGTTGAAGGTGGACGAGCACACCGCACCTGTAGGGCATTGCTCCTTCGTCGGTCGAGGGGGGCACACGAGAATGTGAAAGCTGCACCTGAAACCTGGCGGTTTTGCGCCAAGCGCGATGACGCGTTTTGCCCGGATCGCTTTTCTTGCCGCCCGTTTCTCGGAAGATTGCGGTGAGAGAGCCGTGCGATAGATCCGCGTGTTTCGGAAATCGTACACGCGGGAAGACGAGACAGACGAGAGCAAGCGGGCGTTTCCGATCGCTGATCGATCTCGGCGAATCTCGATCTATCGATCTGTACGGGGAACGCAGCTCTCTGTTTCTTCGTGGCGAGAGGGTCGACTCCGGTTTTTGGGGCACGACGAATTAGCGGTACGTCTAGAACGTTCGATCCTCGTCACGTTGACCGAATTT